TATTACTTTTACCCTTTCTTTTCATAACACTTTTCCATCTGTCAAATTTTAACTGCAATTCTTCCATGCTATCAGCCATCAAGACTAAATCATCTGCATACAAAATCTCAAATAACAACCCCTCCATTATGTTTCCACACACAACATCCATCACAATTGCAAACAAAAACGGTGATAACACTGATCCTTGATGCACTCCTACCTTAACACTAAAAGCGTCCGACATCTCCGACATTATTCATCAAGGATACTCTCATTTTTTTCAACATTTGCAATTTTGTTCTCCCCAGCCTTCTTAAGTTTTCAGCCGTCATAGCCCAAGTTTCGCACCCATACAACGGACAACTTCTTACCTATGCCTTATATAGCTTACACTTCATATACGATGGTATATCCATAGAACACAACACTGAAGGTGCCAGTATCAAAATTTTCTCAGTAGCATCTTTCAACCTACATCGTTAAAAAAACAAACTCTTTGCTTTTTTTGAAGTCTCCTCTCAAACCATTGCATCGTTTGTGTGTCCATTTATCACATTTTACACATAGTATGGAATTTTCTCAAACTCATTTGCTATACACCGAACAGGAGAATTTTTTACGTTCGTAAGTATCTGTATCTTCTCTTAACATTGGCTTAACATCCTCATAACATTGGCTTGCCTTTAAACCTTCTCTTTCTATAAATATTTTCCAAACCGAGAGCTTTTCTTTCAGTTTTTTCTCACTCTCGCCGTAAGAACCGGGCCATCGGGATATAAAATCAACCATGGTAACCCACTTCTGATCTCCCTACTAATCCTTTAAATTACTATAAAAGAAAGTAGAGGACTCAGTGCCGAAACGTGATGTAAACCCACCTGAACATCAAACCACTAGTCGTTAACCTTTACCACCGTCCTGACTTTTTTATACATACATATCACTGGGTCCACCAACCATTATTTACCCCGCCTTTTCTAAGTGCCCACTTAACCGCTTCTCTCTGTATTTTATCATAAGCTTTTTCCAGATCTACAAAAGCAAAATAAAGAGTTTTTTCTTGGCTCTGAATTTTTCTTGAATTTGTCTCACTATAAAAATTACATAAATAGTACTCTTTTCTGGATTTCGTCTATACTAACGTGGTCCCTAATTCTTTTTTGCTCCAAGATTCTTTCCATCACCTTCATAGTGTGTTCCAATAGCTTAATTGCTCTACAAGATCCGTAATATAAAGGATCCCACTTTCATTTGTATATTACGTCCTACCTCGGGAAACCGGGTCTCTGGACGCAAAAC